TCCAATACTTGTTAGCAAAGTGAACCTGAGCACGTTAAAAACCTTGTGCCTCAGTTTCCTAATGGGGATAATACACAGAGACAATAACTGTCTCACATTGGAATGTTGTGTGATCAATTGAGTTAATCCACAATGAGGGTTTAGAACAATGCACCTTGTGCCTCAGTTTCCTAATGGGGATAATACACAGAGACAATAACCGTCTCACATTGGAATGTTGTGTGATCAATTGAGTTAATCCACAATGAGGGTTTAGAACAATGCCTGGCACCTGGTCAGCTAACTCAATGCTTTTCAGCCATTACTGTCTTCATAAAGGCCTGTTTTGCTGGCACAGAAGTACTTGGTGATGAATCTGGAAAGACAGAATCATGGACGGTTTTCAGGCAGTGGTAGGAGAGGAAAAAGGGAAGGAAAAGGGAGTGGACAACGGCCAGAAAGAACACACCAGGAAGAAGGAGAGAAAAGGGTCAGGGTGGTGTCATTTCAGAGAAAACAGCCTTGTTGCAGGTCCACAGTGTTCAAACTACTTTGTGTAAGGGAACATTTCTTGGAAATTAAATGAAGAACATTTAAGAAGAAGCATTTTTTGTGTGTGTTCATTTACAGCTTGAAGTATATTGCCAAAGAGGGTGGCCAAGTTGCATAGAACCCAAGATCTATAAAAAGTCAGGAGACTTGGGATCTAGTCCTAGCTCTGTCCTAGGTGGCTGTGGCATACTGAGCAAAGCCAATTAAAAACTGTGTCATTTTTAAAAGAAGGGGCCAGAACTAGTTCCTAAGCTCTATGTGTAAGTAACATTCTCTGGCTAACCCAAGGACAGGGTCTCAAGAGAACGTAAGGAGTTGTTCCCCTCACCCCCAAGTCCTCTCCCCTCAAAAAAATCTTTTAAAACTAAGAGCATCTGGTGTTCTTTTCCCTTTCCCAAGGCCCCTTGCCAAAAGGGGCAACATTTCCAAATGCTGGCCTTCTTTTTCTTTTCCCATCCGTTTCAGACAAGTTTAGTTTTTCATTTTTTCCTGTGGCTTGCCTACAGTTGCTTCCAGGATGAAGTAGGAAGAAGTAATGAAGAAAAGTGAGATTTGTTGAGAGGAAATGAGCTTCTTTTACCTGATTCTCTTGTAGAAGGTTGGGCAGCTAGACTGTGATTGTTCAGGTTCAAATTACCACTTTAACAAACACACCCTAGATGGTGAAATCCAGTCAACCAATATTGTGAGAGACTTATGCGTTAAGGCTACAGGACCCTGGACATACTAATAGGCTGTCGCACGTAAATAGGCAGTTTATTTACAAACCCCCAAATAAATGGCATTTCAATTTGGACACTGGGCTAGGGGATGTGCTGGTTGAGGCAGCTTACAAACCCCCAAATAAATGGCATTTCAATTTGGACACTGGGCTAGGGGATGTGCTGGTTGTAAAATCACTGGTCCTGACTCTTTGTCCCTGAAAGAAGGCCTGGGTGCTTAGAAAAAAATATCTTGAGGATATGGCTGCTTGCCCAAAGGCCATGGACCTGCATCTTATTTGCTCATCATCCTGTCAGTCATCTTTTTTTTTCTTTTCCTTTTTAAAAGAAGACAAAATCTGAACTCAGAAACATCGAAGTCTAAGCTTTTTGCAGAGGCTAAGCCATCACCTGTAGACCTCCATACTAAATATTCTGCTCTTGCCTAGTCTGCGCCTGGAACCCTCCGGCTAGCCCGGAGGGGTCCGCACTGCAGGGCAAAAAACATCGTCTCGGGTCCAAACCCAAAGCTTCCATCACCAGCCAATTGCGGCCCGGGACTTCCCAAGACAACCAGAAACGCCTACGAGCGTTAAGTGACACTAAGGCCAACCTATCGGCACAAAGGCAGAGGAAGGGGTGGGGTCAAAACTAGCCAGTAGGGTGGAAATAGTTGTTGTTGGGCGGGAGAAAGACGCTAGCGAGTGTGAGTGAGGCCGCTCCCGGGGAGGGATGGCAGGAAGCTCGCGGTAGCCAATGGCTGCGGCGGGCGGGCAGTGGGGCGCGTGCGCGCTGGGGACGCTGGCTGCGGGCGGGAGGCGGGGAAGGTGGGGGAGGGGAGCGGGCTGGAGCGCAGCGGAGCCCCTGCCGCCGCTGCAGCCGTCGCCGCCGCAGCGAAGAGGCCATGTTGTGTGGTGTGTGGGGCGGGGGGAGGAGGAGGAGGGAGTAAAGCCGAGAGAGGAGACGGGAGAGAGACACCACACACACGGCACAAGATGGCCGGAGAGGCAGCAGCACCCCGAGCTGTCAGGCGTTCCGCCGCGGTCGCGGGGCCCGCGGGCCGGCA